AGCCATGTAGTTTAGACACACAGCCCCAGAGTGGATAAAGGAAAAAACCTCTGTGCAGCACAGCCAAGGTAGGAAACGTGGTTCCTCCCCATTAAGAAATTCACCAGCATTATAGGCCTATATACCTTTATGCCTCCTAAAATTCTGCTCCATCTCACTGGAGAGAGTCCAGCAATGAAAACGATGAGTGGGCGGAGGCACATGACTGATGAGGAGAGGCTGAGGGATTTGGGCTTATTTCGTCTGCAGAAGAGAAGAGTGAGGGGGGATTTGAGAGCAGCCTTCATCTCCCTGCAGGGGGTCCAAAGAGGCTGGAGAGAGGCTGTTCTCAGTGGTGGCAGATGGCAGAACAAGGAGCAATGGTCTCAAGTTTCAGTGGGGGACGTCTAGGTTGGATATTAGGACAAATTCTTGCCCTAGAAGGGTGGGGAAGCACCGGGATGGGTTCCCTCCCTAGGGAGGTAGTGGACTCTCCATCCCTAGAGGTTTTTTTAAGGAGAGGCCCGACAAAGCCCTGGCTGAGGTTATTGGCCCTACTTTTGGCAGGGGGTTGGACTAGTTGCCTCTTGAGGTCTCTTCCAATGCTCCTCTTCTGTGATTCTAAGTCCATTAGCTCCCTCTAAAGCTTTTTAGGGGGTTTTCATGCATCTAGATAGATGGGAAACCTGAGACACCAATGTCATGGGACTCCCGTATGGTCAAATAACAAATCAACACCATAACTGTGCCTGGACGTCCAGAGGTCCATGGCCCACAAGGCTGTCATTTACCCTGCTTGCTCCTCTATTTTCTCCTTCCTCTTGCCCTCAGTCTCACTTTTCCTTCCCCACTGTCTGTCTGTAGCTCCCAGTTTGGGCCTTTCCTGCTTTCTTCCTACAATGGTCCAACTTTCCTTTCCTTGATTGTGACTCCCTCTAACCCTATGGCCAACAGTTGGGGCTGATTTATGGCTCAGATCAGTGTCAAGAAGCTGGAGCAATGTCTACTTCTTCCTCCTCTCTGAGAAAAGCCAGCTGGGTGAGCTGGGAAAGGGGATGGAGAGGAAGAGGAGGAAGGAAATACAGTAGCTCCGAAAGCCGTAGAGTATTGGAAGGAGAAACCTAGCTCAGTTCCTTGCAACCCAGCAACTTTTCCGACAGCACATGCGGCTGCCCCTCCAGATGAGTAAACTTACACAATAGTTATGTAATGACTAGTCATTGAGACTCATCCAATATAACCATTACAACACAGGCTGCCCACAGCATACGTCAAAATACACAAAATGCTAGAGCCGTACAGCAAGTCCTCAAGCAATATTTTTTCTTACTTTGCCTATCTGTAAATGTCAATCATTTTTTTCAATGATGATGTGGTTCGGGAAATTGGCATTGGGCAACATTTACCAAATAAAAATATACACAAGCCTATGTAAATGGTATCATATTGCATCAGGCAAGTTGCATCATTCTCACATGAAGAACTCTCTTTGCTGTCTACTGGGGCAATTGAATTCCCTGGGCCACTTTTTATGTTGAAATGATGGTAATAGGCAGACTTAAAAATCCTTTTAAAAAGTAATAATACCTCTTGTCCCGCACAAACAGCACTGATGCAGTTTAATTGCTTGTAGTGTGCACCCCTGAGAACAGGTGCTGTCCTATCTCACCTGGGTTCTGCCCCCAAATCCCAGAAGTGTTACATATATACATACACGTAATCTCCTTGCTAACTGCAACAGATTCTGGAGTCAGGAAGAATCGCAGGCACAGGTATGTTTGAGGATACGATGCTTTGTGCAGAAAACTGAAACAATGTTGTTTTCTGGACATGCGGGTTCCCATATGAACAGCCCAGATGATGTATCCACCCAGTGGTTACTAGACACTAGTATACCATTAGCTACGTCCCCTAAAAGGAAGTAGGATTTACTTTATCTGAATACGACATTAGCACAACTGAAGTCCAAACCAGGTCCTTTTCAGAGTAGAATAGTAACAGCTGCTTCAAGTGAACTAAATACAGTGTTTCCTGTCTCATTTTGTCCTAACCTAAAACAGGGAAGAATAGATAGATAGATAGATAGATAGATAGATAGAGGGGGTGGGTGGAGATAGATAGATAGATAGATAGAGGGGGTGGGTGGAGATAGACAGAATTAGTTCTATCTATTTATCTATCCCCACCCACTCTATCTATCTATCTATCTATCTATCTATCTATCTATCTATCTATCTATCTATCTATCTATCTATCTATCGGAGGTGGCACATAGGTGATTTAGGATCCCAAGCATCTCTGAAACTCACTTAACACTTTTGAAAACCCTACACCATCTCCTGTATTTAACACCATCCCAATGGTATCTAAGCTGGCAGCTAGCAGAGGGAAATATGAATACTCTTTCCATTATACGTGCGCACTAAACCTAATGTCGCCAATAGCTGCAGCTTGTGCTAGAGAGATTTGCTTGATTAATCATTCTTATATTTTTATTATTGTTTTATTATTCAGTAAGGGGGAAAGCAGCCATGCTCAGGCACTGGGACGGTTATTCATGTTAAAAGTCAGGTGCCGAAAAAGTTACCGCTACAGCAAGCGACAACATCTCCGCAGAGCATGTACATCACGTCTTTTATCACTAGGCAGAGAGAGAGAGAGAGAGTCTTTTATAGAAAACTCTTGGCAACACTAACATTCCATTCACATCTTTCCCCCCCCCTTTATTTCCCCTTGGTTCCTTTTTTGTTAAACCGGGGTGGGGAATGTTTTGGGTCAGGAGCTGCTGACCCAGAGATAAATCAGTCAGGGGCTGTGGGCTGCAGGGAGGGGACTGGAGCACCAGCAAGGGCTCCCCAATGCTGGGGGGGGGGAGGGGGCTAAGCTTTGGGGGCCAGATCCAGACAATCCAAGGGCCGCATCCGGTCATGGGGACTTAGGTTCCCCCCCCCATGTTAAACCATCAAGACAGGATAGGGAGAGGAATCGGTTGTGCTCCAAAAGACTCCTGAATCCCAAGAAGGCTTTGAGATGAAGCCCTTCCCCAGGCGGCAGTCTGTTCCTTGGTTGCTCTGGTGGCTGCGAATCCAGAGAGAGGCTGTCATGTGGGTTTAAGGGATGAGCCCCATGCCAGCTGGGACGGAGATGCTTGTATCATTATCATGGAGGAATATCCATCTAGCCCATGTGTCACTGAGGGGTGGGGAGCCACCGGGCCCGGCCCCCCATCTGCAGCTGGACGTGACTTTCCACTGGCAGGGAGAACAGAAGGTTTATTGGTCCACAGGGACACAGCGTAGCTCAGGCCTGTCAGCACAGGCACCGGGAGCAGCAGGCACCATCCATCTCGGGGAGAGGGGCCAGGGTCCCCCTTCAGCCCCAAGCCAGCCAGCCTCCCCCACACACCGTGAAGACTGGCTTGATCCCTCTAGCTCCTCTTTTGTCCCCTTTCCCCAGGCCAAAGGTGTGTCTCAATCTCAACTTCCTCCCAGGGTCAGGATACAGGGAGCTGGCTATTGCAGCCTGGCTATTGCAACATGATGGGCAATGTGTATTCCCTTCAGTGGTTACTTCATTCAGCACACAGTCAACCTGTGGAACTCCTTGCCAGAGGATGTGGTGAAGACCAGGACTTTAACAGGGTTCAAAAAGGAGCTCGATAGATTCATGGAGGTTAGGTCCTGCTGGGCGGTGCATATTGCCTCTGTGAGTCACCGAAATCCCCCCTCTCCATCTAGATAGTGGTTCAGCGCCCAGGGAAACTGAGGTACGCACACGGGGTTACCGCAGGACAGTAGAAATCACACATTACGCAGCAAAGCAAACAAAGTGAAGCCGATCCCCACTTCCTCAACGCTCTCCCTGCTTCCAGACCCAACTGAGCAGGGTCGTTCGGCCAGGGGCCTGCGGACGTTCAGACCCGCTGCTCCGGGATAAAGCATCAGCTGTGACGTTAGCCCTCCCCTTCACACAGACCCACCTCCAGGTCATAATCCTGCAGAAGCAGACTCCACCTCAGCAGCGTGGCGATGGCCCTTTTCATCTGGTGCAGCCAGGTCAGGGGAGAGTGGTCAGTGTCTACCATGAAATGCCGCCCAACTAGATACGGCTTCGTCACACCATGTCCGTTAGCACAGCTCCATTGACTTCAGGGCTGCGAGGCAGATCTGCACCATCAGAGTATCCCAGTCCTTTATCTTTATGGTGGGAAAGAAAGCAACCTAGGACCAGAGACTCAGATGGTGCAAACTGACATAGCAACACTGACTTCAGTGGTTACTTCATTCAGCACACAGTCAACCTGTGGAACTCCTTGCCAGAGGATGTGGTGAAGACCAGGACTTTTACAGGGCTCAAAAAAGAACTCGATAGATTCATGGAGGTTAGGTCCATCAATGGCTATTAGCCAGGATGGGTAGGAAGGAATATTTGGAGGGAATATGCACCGCCCATCATGTTGCCATAGCCAGGCTCCTTATAACCTGACCCTGGGAGGAAAGTGAGACTAAGAGGCACCTTTTGCCTGGGGAAAGGGGAGAAAAGAGGGTCTAGAGGGATCAAGCTGGGCTGCAGGGTGTGTGGATGAGTCTGGTTGGCTTGGAGTTGAAGGCGGGCCAGGGCCCCTCTCCCCAAAATGGATGGAATGGTGTCCCTAGCCTCTGTTTGTCTGGAAATGGGCGACAGGAGAGAGATCACGTGAGCATTCCCTGTTGTGTTCCCTCCCTCTGGGGCATCTGATATTGGCCACTGTCGGCAGACAGGATACTGGGCAGGATGGACCGTTGGTCTGACCCACTATGGCCATACTTATGTTCGGCTGGTAGAAATCATAAGATCTGGCACAGCGAGTTTCTGTTAGATGGGAATAATTAACTGGGCATGTGGTCAAATCTTCACAGGCTCTATTGTTTCTTCTCACTGATGCCGGGGAGCCTTCAATGCCTTTTACCAGCTTTCCACGTCTGCTCAGCCCATACGGCCCAGCTTCTCTCTACCTACAAGAAAGGAGTCATCACTAGGAGATGCTTCCCACCAATGGCACCGCCGTGACGGAATTCATACTCCTGGGGTTCCCCAGCCCCCCTTCGATTCAGATGGTCCTCTTCCTCACCTTCACGGCGCTGTACGGGATGATCCTGCTCGGGAACATCGGGCTGATGGTGCTGATTCGGGCTCATCCTCGCCTTCACACCCCCATGTACTTCTTCCTCAGTAACTTGTCCTTTGTCGATCTCTGCTACTCCTCCGTCATCGTGCCGAAGATGCTGGCCAACTTCCTGTTGGACAGACAGGCCATTTCGTACGCCGGCTGCGGGCTGCAGTTTTACTTCTTCTGCACCTTCGCTGACACGGAGTCTTTCATCCTGGCCACCATGGCCTATGACCGGTACGTGGCCATCTGTAACCCTCTGCTCTATACGGTCATCATGTCCCCCAGGGTCTGCATGCTGCTGGTGGCTCTGTCCTACATAGGGGGCACACTGAGCGCGCTGGTGCACACCTGCTTTGCCTTCAGACTGTCCTTCTGTGGACCCAACGTCATCAACCACTTCTTTTGTGACCTCCCTCTGCTCCTCAAGCTCTCATGCTCCGACACCTCCCTCAATGAGCTTCTGCTCTACACCTATGGCAGCTCCGTGGAAATCATCTCTGCCATCATCATCCTCATCTCCTACCTCTTCATTGTCATCTCCGTCCTGAGGATGCGCTCCGCGGAAGCCAGGCGCAAAACCTTCTCCACCTGTGCCTCCCACCTGACGTCTGTCATCATCTACGAGGGGACTTTGCTCTTCATCTACTCCCGCCCCAGCTCCTGGTACTCACCCACCTCGGACAAATACATCTCTGTCTTCTACACCATCGTGATCCCTGTGCTCAACCCCCTGATCTACAGCCTGCGAAACAAGGACGTGAAAGAGGCTCTGAGGAGAGCCATAGACGCCAAAGTCCTTGCTCAGTCAATCTCTTGATGGCAAAGAGTCACTAGTGAGGAAGTGCAGAACAAGGAGGAGACCAGCTCAGCCAATGAGATACAATGAGAGCAACAGACATGGATACTTAGCAGGTGTAAGGGGTATTGAGGCAGGCATGTGTTTTGGTCTGGGGCATTAAATTTGACCTGATGTGTATTTCTGTAAAGATTTCGGGTCACAGCATTACAGATTCTTTTGGGTTGGAATGGAATGTTTTAATCCATCTCTCCCTGACCTATGGAGGGCAGGTGTTCTATGGGACTGAGACTCAGCAGTGCTGAGTTTATTCCTCTGCTCTGCTATAAAATGGGCATGTCACTTAAACTGCCCCATACCTCAGTATTTCCTTAACAGTAATATCAAGTTAAAGAAAGTCTCTCTCTTCCCCCTGATGTGTTGTGTTGTGTGCCACAGGATTAAAGCAGAAATTTAATTGAAGAGCAATGGGGGTTAGCAGGGATACAGAATAAGGACTTTAATGAAGATAGTTTAGGGGAAAGGGAATGGCTCAAGTTTTACAGGGAGAGAGTGCGGGATTGGTATTCATCTGCAAATTTGACACTGTTTTCCTGGACTTGAACGAAGACATTAACTGGATGTCCCTTTATAAAGCCAGTCCCCTCTACCTTGAACACTTCATTGTTACATCAAAAGCTAAGTAGGGGGACACTTCCAGCACACTTGATTAGCCTCATTAGCACCAGTCCTACAATTGACAGGTACCTTTTTTGTTATAATTAGCTCAGCTTTAGTTATTCCTCTCCAGTTCATCTCGGGTACATCTAGACTACGTCTACACTGGCATGAATTTCCAAAAATGCTTTTAACGGAAAAGTTTTCCGTTAAAAGCATTTTCGGAAAAGCACGTCTAGATTGGCAGGATGCTTTTCTGCAAAAGCACTTTTTGCAGAAAAGCATCCATGGCCAATCTAGACCCGGTTTTCTGCAAAAAAGCCCTGATCGCCATTTTCGCAATCGGGGCTTTTTTGCAGAAAACAATACTATGCTGTCTACACTGGCCCTTTTGCGCAAAAGTCTTTTGGAAAAAAACTTTTGCCTGAACGGGAGCAGCATAGTATTTCCGGAAAAGCACTGATGATTTTACAGGAGATCGTCAGTGCTTTTCTGGAAATTCAAGCAGCCAGTGTAGACAGCTGGCAAGTTTTTCCGCAAAATAAGATGATTTTGCGGAAAAACTTGCCAGTGTAGACACAGCCCTAGACTACAGGCTTTTGTTGACAGAGGCTTTGTCAACAGATAGGGTATGTCTAGACTACAGGGGGTTTTGTCGACAGAAGTTTTGTCGACAAATACTGTCGACAAAGCTTCTGTCGACAAAGAGCGTCTAGACTACATCCAGATACCCAGATACCACGAGTTGTAATACCTAGCGGTCCAATGTAATCGCCGCCCATTGATGTTGAAAAGGTCAAAGTCGGTGGTGAAAAAGATGAGTGACCTGTTATTCCATCTTCACTGTAAGGCCTTGTTGCAGGCCCTCGACCGAACCAGCAAACTTGCTGCTTGGAGTTTTGTTGATTGAGTGTACGGGATGGTTGGGGTCGCCTATGACGTGGGCGCTGTTTTGCAGGTGATTGTTCTATAGGTCGCTGCTGGTATTGCTGTCTTTTAGCCAATAGGGGTACGTCTTGACTACAGGCTTTTGTCGACAGAAGTTTTGTCGACAGATACTGTCAACAAAGCTGCTATCAACAAAGAGCATCTAGACTACATCCAGTTCTGTCGACAAAGCAAGCCGCTTTGTTGACATGAGAGTGTAGACGCAAAGGACAGTGTAGATACAATAACGCCTTTTGTTGACAGAACTCTGTCAGCAAAAGGCATTATTCCTCGTAGAATGAGGTTTACTGTCGTTGACAAAACTGTCAAATTCTGTCGACATTATGTCGACAGAACTCGGTGGTAGCATAGATGCAGGTATAGTTTTGTTGACAAAAGTCCACTTTTGTAGACAAAACCCTGTAGTCTTGACACACACCTGAGGAAGTGGGTTTTGCCCATGAAAGCACACGATATGGTATATATCTTGCTTAGTCTCTAAGGGCACGTCTACACAACAGGGCTAAAGCCAAAATAAGCTATGCAACTTCAACTACATCAATTGTATAGCTTATGTCGAAATAGCTTATTTCTGCCTTTAGCACTCTACACAGCAGGAAGTTTGGGAAAGAACTGTTCCTCCAACTTCCCTTCCTCCTCATAAAATGAGAGTTACAGGAGTCAGAGTAAGAAGTCATCCAGCTCAACATTGTAATGTAGATGTGGATTATGTGATTTTGGAATAACATCAGTTATTCCAAAAGAACACTGCTGTGTAGACGTACCATAAGGTGCCACAGGACTACTTGTTTTCAAAGTTAAAGACTAACATGGCTAATCCTCTGAGAAATCTCCTTTTACATCGTCATTTCCAATCCAGGGAGGAGGGGATTGGAGAGTAGGACATACCTTGCAAAGCAGGATGTTCTAATCTAGCCCAAAGCCCACGAGCGCAGGCACATGATGTGTCAGGCAAAGGAACACCGTGGTTTTCAGCTCTAGGTCACTTTTCTTTCTTTTCTTAATTTGTTTTTAATGATTTTTAAAAGTTCCTCCTGGTCAGAGGATGGGAACCAGAATTCTATGTGCACAAACAGCATCCCAAAGGAAAAGCCAATGACACCTCTGCATCAGAGTGGGTCCTGAGAATCATTTTTATTTATTTTCTGCCTGCTATCCACCGCTTTTTCATTCCTCCAGAAAGTGGAACAGAATATGCAGAAAGGGATCTAGGGGTCAAAGTGGACCACAAGCTAAACATGAGTCAACAGTGTGAGACTGTTGCAAAAAAGCAAACATGATTATGGGAGGCATTAATAGGAGTGTTGTGAGCAAGACATGGGAAATCATTCTTCTGCTCTACTCTGCACTGATTAGGCCTCAATTGGAGTATTGTGTCCAGTCTGAGCACCACATTTCAAGAAAGATGTGGAGAAATTGGAGAAGGTCCAGAGAAGAGCAACAAAAATGATTAAAGGTCTAGGAAACAGGAGCGATGAGAGAAGACTGAAAGAACTGGGCTTGTTTAGTTTGGAAAAGAGAAGACCGAGAGGGGCCATGATAGTGGTTTTCAAGTAGATAAAAGGGTGCCACAAAGAAGAGAGAGAAAAATTGTTCTCCTTGGCCTCTGAGAATAGGACAAGAAGCAATGGGCTTAAACTGCAGCAAGGGAGGTTTAGGTTGGACATTAGGAAAAACTTCCCGTCTGTCAGGGTGGTTAAACACTGGAATAAGTTGCCTAAAGAGGTTGTAGAATCTCCATCACTGGAGATATTTAAGAGCAGGTTAGACAGACACCTGTCAGGGATGGTCTATACCCGTGCTTGGTCGTGCCCTGAGGGCAGGGGACTGGATTTGATGATCTCTTGAGATCAGGGCCGGCCCTCAACATTTTGCACCTGAGGTGGGGAGCTCAAATGACGTCCCCATGTCCCCTTGCTTGGGCCAAAACTTTGAAAGGACTCTTGTGCCCTCCTTCCTCCAGCACAGCACTCCACCATCTCTGTGCATCTAGAGCAAAGAGAATGCATATGCACTAGCAGCAAACACCGTTTTCTAAACTCTGGGTCCTAGTGGTGCCCCCAACAGTCTGGCACCTGAGGTGGCCGCCCCATGGTAGGGCCGGCCCTGCTTGAGGTCCCTTCCAGTTCTAGTGTTCTATGAGAACGATGAGGGCTTATTTGCATATCGCTCTATTATAAAATCTTATGGCTGCTCCTGGAAGGAGTGAAAGAAGGAAATGAAATGAGTTATGGCAGTCAACAAGTATGTGGTGACATTTACCATTAATAAAGAATGATGATGAGGAAGAAATGGCGTTTTTCTGGCTCATGCAAACCTTTCTCGGCCTGCCGAGCCACTAACAGCATCTTTCCTATCTCTCTCCTACTTTATATGGGCAAGATTATGAATTTTTGCAACACTGCTCTACTATGTGTTTTTTGCAACACAGTGATCAGAAAGGCCCTTAGGGTACGTCTAGACTACCGCGTTTTGTCGACGGAAGTTTTGTCGACAGATACTGTCGACAAAACTTCCGTCGACAAAGAGCGTCCAGACACATTGAGTTCTGTCGACAAAGCAAGCTGCTTTGTCGACAGAACTCCGTAGTCTGGATGCAGTGTTACAGGCAATAACACCTTCTGTCGACAGAGTTCTGTCGACAGAAGGTGTTATGCCTCGTAAAATGAGGTATACCAGCATCGACAAAACTGCTGAGTTCTGTCGACGTTATGTCGACAGAACTCAGCGGTAGTGTAGACGCTGGTATAGTTTTGTCAACAAAAGTCCACTTTTGTCGACAAAACTAGGTAGTCTAGACACACCCTTAGATGCCTGAACAGCCTGATGCTGGTATGAGTTTGTCAGGTCTCAGAATGAGCTCACAGACCCATGAGCCGTTCCTGTGTTTTTCTAGCAGTGAGGCTGAAAGTCAGAGTCAACCCCAGCAACAAAAGGTGCATTTTCTATTTTTTTCTTTTACGCGTGTTTGACTTGTTTTGTTTTCAAGAAAAGAGAATTGGACTTTAGAAACATCAGCAATAACGGCAGTTCCGGCCCATTTCCACTAACTTTTCTCTTTCCCCAAAAAGAACATCTGTAATGCCATCTAAGGGTACGAGCTTGGTAAATAAGTATCTGTGGAAATTAGGAGCCTAAAGATTTGAGAATCTTGGCCTTCATTTTCTTTGCTGCTGTTTTAATCTGTGTGCATCTGTTTTGCTTACTTTTGTAATTCTTAACTGAGGACTATAGTGTCTGTTAAAACTATGTAATTATGAAATCACTGCTTTTATTTTTGCTATTTAAAAACAAAACAAACCCCAGTTCACAAAGTTGAAGGAAAGATTTTTATTTTTTCTCACCCGAAATAGCAGCTCTAGTGATTGGGATTAGTAACCTCTTGATTTAATGCTATGTACAGCACCCTTTTTTAG